AACTCTTATGTAGTAAAAGTCATGAGTTCCTCATTGTTTGTGTATCTGTTTTACATGTAAAAGCTAAAAACACCAACTTTCTTCCATATGCGCAGGAGAAAGAGCTAGCAGCTGCAGCTGAAAAACTTGCCGAGTGTCAAGAAACTATTTTCCTTCTCGGCAAACAACTGAACTCCCTTCGTCCCCAAACCGACACCTCGACTCCTCCAAACAACTCAAGAAATCAAGAAGTCGAGCCCCTTTTTCAGGAGGAACCCACCATAAGTGGCACAGAAAATATGCAAGAAACCGAATCATTAGAAGCTGATACTTTTGTTTTACATAGAGCTGGATCAGAGTCTCCAATGGACCCATTCAACTCCTCATATACTCCTTCGGACTTTGAAGCTAACCACTTTCTGAGATCGCCTGTCGGCTCTAAGTATCCTCCTAAACACCGTCCTACAAACTCAGGCTCGTCTTCTGCTTCGTCCACACCTACCCCGGAAAAGCATGCTCGTGGGTTTAGCAGATTCTTTTCTGCTAAAGGTAAAAATTAGCTGTTGAGTGTGAATTGGTCTCGTGTTCGTTTTCATGCCCTAGGTTTTATCGTCTAGATGAAGTGGTTGTAAGTTGTAACGGTATTCTAAATAAAAACCAAAAAGAAAAAAAAAAAAAGAGAGAAAGAAAATGATGATGTTGTAGTTTAAGCTTTTTTCATATTTTGTTTGATTAATGTAAATAAGGATCCTTTTCAACTTGTTCATTGCCATACTTGTAATTTTTGTGCTTAGATTTTGGAGGGTCCGTCTTTTTTGGAAGTGGTACTCTCTTGTTGCAATAGTTTTGAATGCTAGTTTTTTGGTATTCTTTGGGTTACATGCTTGTTGTGAAGAAACTAGCGGAATTGTTCATTTACTCACCTTAACAGGTCTCAAAATTTTTGTGATTTTTCAGCCACAGCCACTGTATATTATATATGATAATCTTTTGTCTCTACCAGTTGGTGAGTATAGAAAGTCACAAAATTTTATGTGATTTTTCAACCACACCCTTCATATATTATATGATAATATTTGTCGCATTGGTTGAAAAGTATAGAAAGTCTTGCCTGCCTGGGTGGGGAGGGAAGCATGATTGAAGAAATTAGATGGTAATGTTTAATTTATAAACCTCGTTTTCTGGTGTAGTTTCATGGTGAAGCTGTTAAGATTAATGTATTGGCAAAATATATATAATGATTATGCAATTCAATATTCATATCTCTTTGACAGTCTGTTGTAGTGTACATGAAACGCTTCATTTTTTTAGTCTGTTGTAGTGTACATGAAACGCTTCATTTTTTTTTCTTTCTTTATTAAGCAATAACTATGAGAAAAATATGCGTCACAACAGTCAGCGTGTAATAATCTCAGATTATGAATTCACCAAAAAGAAAATATTAAATAAATTAATATGCGTATTACGTTTTGCCTAATAATCGCATAGTTTAAAAAAAGCAAAAAAAGAAATGATTATGCGAATCACAGTTTCAACACATTTTTAATAAGAAAATAAATATAATATTCTGCGAACTAATTTTCGTACATCTTTCGCATTACAATAGCTACTGATTTATCAAAAATAAAATTTTAAATATATTAATTTGTGACTAATTATACGTATAATTTTTTCGCTTAATAATCGCATATTTTAGTAAAAAAATAAAAATAATTGTTCTGCAGATCATAGTTTCGACGCATTTTTAATAAAAGAAATAAATATAATGGTTATGCCATTCGCATAATGACATGTATTTACCAAAGTAAATCCGTCACTCAGACAGTCATTCTGCATGACTTGAAACGTCACGTATCAATAAATCCTACCTAAATGATTAATCGCATAATGACTCGCATTTTTTGAAGCGAACCCATCATTCGAACAGTTGTTTCTGTATGACTTGAATGACGTCACGTATCAATAAATACTAGTGTTCTTTAAGTCACTAGCCGCTCCAACAGCGCCTAGCGTCAAGTGCCTAGACGGGGCCTAGAAATTGAGATTAAATACCCTTTTTTTTTCACTACCTACTAAATAAAACTATCTCAACTTATTATAAATCCATACGACTAAGTAAAAATAATAATGTAAATATATTATAAAGAAAACGTGATAATAGAATAATGTAGTTAGTATTAAAAAGAAAGTTGAATAATTACCGCCGAGCTCGCGTAGGCGCCGTCTTGTCGCCGGACCAGTTTTTTCAACCGATTCATGCGAACCGGAGGCAGTCGAGCGGTGCCTAGCGTCTAGACGGTTGCCTAGGCCGATTTTTAGTACATTAATGAATACTAGAGCCAACTTAAATGTTACGTATCAGTATAAATTGTACATGAATGAAGTCTAAAAATTTTCATCCACATTCTCATCACTGTGTACCAAAAAAAAAAAAAAGTGAATATATTTCATAGCAGTTTATATTAAACAACTATACTTGTATGCGACTGAAGCTGTGACATTTATGCAAAACTCTTCCAGCTTGTTTGCTTCTTTTCTTGGACTAGCCGGATGACGGTCTCTTCCAACTTCTTAGTGTGTAACCTTCGTCTAATATAAGAATAGTGGGGATTGTCAGCAGATAACTTCGACAGGCCGCATGGGGTGTAGCTACTTAATGGTTAGCATGGATATTTGCAAAAAACTATCATATTTGGCTCTTTTAATTATATAAATGAGTTGAGTTTTCACTGGCCGAACTAAGTTATGTTTATTGGTAAGTCAGTTCAAATAAAATTAAAAATCTGCATAACACGATACAAAAATTATTGGTAACACCCCGGTATAAAGACAAATGACACAATAGGTACGAAACACGACATGATAAGAAATATGCTATATGTACCACCAAACACGATAAAAAAAAGCACGATTTATTTATTTATTTTCTTTTGTCAAATAACATACTTTTTATCAAAGAAAATCGACTACACAAAAATATTATAATAAAATAGGAACACGTATTAGACTAAGTATTAGTTGTTTTATGTAAAAACGTTATTTGTATTTCAGCAACTTTAGTTATTGTAATAGACTATAAATAGGGTACATTAGGGTTAGCAGATCATTATCGTCTTATCTCACCTTTTCATATTCTCTTCTTTTCTCTCTCAATCTGTATTCTCTCGATCTATCAAGCATGTCTCTCTTGTAAATCAAATTTGTTTTTATCATTCAATAAGATGATTTTCAGTTCTACTATGGTATCAATCGCTAAGTTTTTATCGATCTGATCTTCCGCTGCACACATATATTTTTTTATTTTTTTTTTAATTTTTCTTCGATTTTCGATTCTGTTCTTGCTTTGAATCTGGTCTCGATTTCGATCTGGATTTTGATTTTGATGTATTGATATTAATGTTCATCTTCGTCTAAATCTCGATCTAAATCTATTGATTTTTTTACTCGTGATTTCGATGGCTACTGTAAATCCGACCGACGATCCGTCCTCTCCATACTTCCTTCATGCCGGTGATAATCCTAGAGCGCTGATAGTGGCCGATCTATTCAATGGCGACAACTATGTGTCGTGGTCCAAAGCTGTTCAGATGGCATTGAGTGTGAAGAACAAATCTGCATTCATTGACGGTTCTCTGGTAATCCCTAACTCTCTGAACACTATTGAACATATTGCTTGGGTGAGAGCCAATAACCTAGTCCTCTCTTGGATTTTGAATTCTATAACCAAAGACATTCGCTAATCTCTTCTATTTTTTCCCTCTGCAAAAGATGTTTGGGATGAAATGCGTTCTCGATATGCCTTAAGTAGTGGTCCTAGGGTTTTTCAACTTGAAAAATCCCTAAGTACCATGGATCAGGGTAGCCTTTCTATGACTCAGTATTATAATATGTTCAAAACTCTATGGGATGAGTATGTTACATATTGACCGATTTTTAAATGCTACTGTGGTGCTATGAATTCCTGCACATGTAGCATCCTTGATTCCATGTCTGTTGCACAACAAAACGATTTTGTCATGAAATTTCTGATAGGGTTAAATGACTCATATGCTTATATACGCAACCATCTCTTGTTGTCTTCCCCTACACCTTCTCTTTTCATTGTTTATTCATTGCTTTTACAAGAAGAAAGCCAGAGGTCACTTCATAACAAGTCTTTTGAATCTGCTGCAATGCTTGTCAAATCAAATCCTAGTCAGAAACCTTTTAACAAAGACAAAAAACGTCTCAAATGTAACCATTGTGGTTATAATCATCCCACAGAGAAGTGTTATCAAGTCATAGGATATCCAGCCAATTGGATAGGTCCTAGGGGACCTAGAATCCACCCTAACCACACCACCAATCAATCCCAATCTCATCCCAACCACACCTACAATCCAACCAACTCTCACTCAGCAAATCTTGTTAATACTAGTGTTAAGACAGTTACAAATGTACCTCATATGCATACTGCTTCCATGACTGATGCTCTCTTTAGTGAATTCTTAGAATTCAAGAAAATTAATGAGATGAAACATGTCAAACCTCACACTGATTCATCTCTTATTGTTGCTACTGTCCATGTTGAGCAATCAAGTACTCCTATATCTGGTTTTCCATGTTCAATTTCATCTAAAGATACATGGATACTTGACATTGGTGCTACTGATCATATGATCTGTGATATATCTCTGTTTTCCACAAAACCTGTTTATAAATCTATCAAAACTAATCTGCCAAATGGAAATATCACTTGTGCCACTCATATAGGTCAGGTTCATTTAGGATCTAACTTAATATTGCACAATGTGTTATATGTTTCTTCATTTTCCTTTAATTTGATATCAATATCTAAACTCACTGCATCAAATCATTGTGGTGTCAACATTGTATCCTCTTACTGCATCCTGCAAGATCTGCAAACCAACAGAATGATTGGTTTTGCTGAAGCACTGAATGGACTTTATCATCTAAAATCTCTTTATTCTGATGTTTCTTCTGATGTTTCATCTGATGTTTCTTCTAATATTGTTCATTCTGATTATGATGTTTTACCAACTGTACTGAACACCAATGTACTTTCTATGTCTGAAGTTTGGCATCATAGACTAGGACACTTATCTTACAGCAGATTATCTCAATTGTCCATATGTGATTCTTTACCTAATGCATCATCTCATCCATGTGATGTATGCCATTATAGTAGACAAAAGAGATTACCATTTGCTATTAGCACTTCTGTTGTTTCATCATGTTTTGACTTAATTCACTGTGATCTTTGGGGACCCTTCTCCACACCATCTCACTCTGGCCATAAGTATTTTTTAACAATAGTTGATGATCATAGTAGAGTAACATGGATATATCCTTTAATTCATAAGTCTGATACCGGCAAATTTCTTCAGCATTTCTACAACATCATTTATACTCAATTCAAAAAGAAAATTAAAACAATCAGAACAGACAATGGTTCTGAATTCTTTCTCAATGATTTTTTTCTCAAACCATGGCATTTTGCATCAAGCAAGTTGTGTTGAAACACCTCAACAAAATGGCAGGGTAGAAAGAAAACATCAACATTTACTTCAAGTAGCTAGGGCTTTACTTTTTCATGCCCATACCTTTACAGTTTTGGATTGATTGAATTTGTGTTGCTGCTAACATAATCAACAGAGTTCCTTCTTCTGTTTTAAATAACATATCTCTCTATGAAGCTCTATATGAAACAACTCCCAATCTAGATCATTTAAGGGTGATAGGGTGCTTATGTTATGCATCTACATTATTAGCACATAAAAAAGAATTTGATCCAAGAGCATCAAAGTACATTTTTCTTGGGTATCCACTTGGTTGTAAAGGGTATAGACTTTACAATCTGGAAACCAAAAAAATATTAATATCCAGGAATGTTGTTTTTTATGAAGATGTGCTACCTTACAAACATAAATCCTTTTTATCTACTTCTCATGACAAACTATTTCCCTCACCACCACCTGACTTTCATCTTACATATTCACACTCTCAATCTTCATCTTTACAACCATCCACCACTAACATAACAGACAACACACCTATATCAGACAATGGTCATACCAGTCCCATCCCAGATAATACAATAATCTCTGCCCATACACTTGTATCCAATTCACCTACACAGCAACATTCATCTCCCATACTCAGAAGATCTACAAGACAAAGAAACCCTCCAACTTATCTTGATATTTACAAACATTCTTTGCCAAACTCTTCAAACTGTGCTACCATTCATAACAACATTCTTGGTACATCATATCCTATAACTGATTTTTTATCCACATCTTCATTATCACAATCACATTACTGTTTCACTTCATCCATTACACAACACATTGAACCTCATACATATAAGCAAGCTGCTAAGAACCCTCTTTGGCAAGAAGCCATGCAAAAAGAAAATCAAAACCTTAGAACTGACTGATACTTGGGAATTAGTACCTTTACCCTCAAATCAACATTTTATAGGATACAAATGGGTCTACAAAATCAAGTATAAGTCTGATGGTTCAATAGAAAGATATAAGGCTAGGTTAGTTGCCAAAGGTTACACCCAAGAGGAAGGAATCGGTTATTTTGATATCTTCTCTCCAGTGGCTAAAATCACTACAGTCAGGGTCTTAGTAGCTATTGCTTCAGCCAAAAATTGGCCTGTCCACCAATTGATGTAAATAATGCATTTCTTCATGGGGACTTAGATGAAACAATGTACATGCAACCTCACTCTGGTTACTTAGATGCCTCTGACAATAGAGTTTGTAAGTTAATTAAAAGTCTATGTGGCTTAAAGCAAGCCTCGAGACGACGCGACATGTCAACCGAGTGCCGCGACACGGCCCGACTGCCCGACCACACGACCCCATTCAATTCACGTGAGCCTGAAAAGATCCGTTCGTGTGATCTGTTTGTTCGTGTGCTGTGTACTGCCATCCGGAAGATCAGCCAGATCGCCAAAATTATAAGCCATAAGTTCTTTACGTCAAACATTTATATTCGTTGCGCATAGGTTTACGTTTGCTATTGAATTCGTAATTTGTACATAACAAGATCCTCACAGATCACAAACATAGCCCTTTGAATTTCAATCACATGATCATATATAGCTTATCATTGTTATCATCGTCTTCAATTCAAGCGTGATATCACTTTTATTTAAAAAAAATTAAAAAAAATTGGATGGACATAACCTTTTGAATTTCAGTGACATGATTATATATTTCTTATCATTGTTATCATCGTTTTCAATATCCTTTTAAAGAAAAACTATTCAGGCATGATTATGTATCAAAAATGAAAAAGAAAAGAATAAAACCTCTAGAATTATGTATCAAAAATGAAAAAGATAAAAAGAAATCTCCCTTCAAATCTTTAGAATCCTGTTTGTCAAAGCATGAAAAAAGGCATTCATGAAATGAAAAAAGACCATTCATCCAAACGTATCCCGTGCATTGCACGTGATTCCTAGTACCCAACCAAATCATTCCTTGGCCCACAGAATATCTTCGTATTCTGCTTTTTTAACGATATGTTCTGAGACTCCAGGCGTATTCAAATCAGCACCGCTTGATTTAATTATTTATTAATAAATTACAACAAAAAGAATAATAGTAAAAAAAATTTGGTCTTTTAAATTAACGCGGAAACTAAAAGGTATTTCATTCATGCATTCATTCTCATTCCCATTGTTTTCAGTGAGACGTTTTAGAATGTTATTATGTCGTTACGATGTGGGGTCCTCCTACCAAAACTATTACTCCCTCCAATTCTTTTTAAATGTTGTTTTGTGCTTTAACACACAAATTAAGAAACTTTTCTTGCAAATATTAACCTTATTTAAAGAAAATTAACATTAATTATTTACTTCCTTTTCAGTATTTTTTATGTTCTTTAAAGAGAGAAAGAAAACTCACTGCTTTCCACAACTTTCCTCTCAAAATGTGTAGTGTTTATATTAAATGAGGGTAATAATGAAAAAATATGTACAAGATATCCAAAACGACATTTATTTGATTAATGATCAATAAAGCCAAAATGATAAATAAAAAGAATAGGAGGTAGTACTAACCCGTATTCTAACTGTCACTATCTATAGATTAAGATAAACCAATATTAACCGTTACGATTAGAGCGTCTAAGCAGCGCCTGCACGGAACCTATAAACTAAAATTAAATACATTATTTTTTATTCATTTTCACTATCTACAAAATAACATGATTTCAACTTATAATAAATTCACACACTCAATAATAAAATTAATATAATATAAAGAAAACATGATAACAAAATAATGTAAGTATAAAAAAAAACTAAAAAATTGTTGTCGAACCCGCCTAGTAGCGCTTAGGCGCCGCCTAGCCATCTGGCCGATATGCAAATTAAAAAATTATTGTCGAACCCGCCTAGGAGCGCTTAGGCGCCACCAGAGAACGGAAGTCGCGACACGCGCCAACCGGCGATCCCCGTGACTCGCGAGACGACGCGACATGTCAACCGAGTCCCGCGACACGGCCCGGCTGCCCGACCACACGACCCGATTCAATTCACGTGAGCCCGAAAAGATCCGTTCGTGCGATCTGTTTGTTCGTGTGTTGTGTACTGCCATCCGGAAGATCAGCCAGATCGCCAAAATTATAAGCCATAAGTTCTTTACGTCAAACATTTATATCCGTTGCACATAGGTTTACGTTTGTTATTGAATTCGTGATTTGTACATAACGAGATCCTCACAGATCACAAACATAGCCCTTTGAATTTCAATCACATGATTATATATAGCTTATCATTGTTATTATGGTCTTCAATTCAAGCGTGATATCACTTTTATTTTTAAAAAAGTTAAAAATTTGGATGGACATAACCTTTTGAATTTCAATGACATGATTATATATTTCTTATCATTGTTATCATCGTTTTCAATATCCTTTTAAAGAAAACTATTCAGGCAAGATTATGTATCAAAAATGAAAAAGAAAAGAATAAAACCTCTAGAATTATGTATCAAAAATGAAAAAGATAAAAAGAAATCTCCCTTCAAATCTTTAGAATCCTGTTTGTCAAAGCATGAAAAAAGGCATTCATGAAATGAAGAAAGACCATTCATCCAAACGTATCCAACCAAATCATGCCTTGGCCCACAGAATATCTTCGTATTCTGCTTTTTTAACGATATGTTCTGAGACTCCCGGCGTATTCAAATCAACACCGCTTGATTTGATTATTTATTAATAAATTACAACAAAAAGAATAATAGTCAAAAATTGGTCTTTCATTCTCGTTTCCATTGTTTTCAGTGAGACGTTTTGGAATGTTATTATGTCGTTACGGTGTGGGGTCCTCCTACCAAAACTATTATTTCCTTCTATTCTTTCTAAATATTGTTTTGTGCTTTAACACACAAATTAAGAAACTTTTCTTGCAAATATTAACCTTATTTAAAGAAAATTAACATTAATTAATTACTTCCTTTTCAGTATTTTTTATGTTCTTTTAAGAGAGAATGAAAACTCACTGCTTTCCACAACTTTCCTCTCAAAATGTGTAGTGTATATATTAAATGAGGGTAATAATGAAAAAATATGTATAAGATATCTAAAACGACATTTATTTGATTAATGATCGATAAAGTTAAAATGATAAATAAAATGAATAGGAGGTAGTACTAACCCGTATTCTAAATGTCACTATCTATAAATTAAGATTAACCAATATTAACCGTTAGGATTAGAGCGTCTAAGCAGCGCCTGCACGGAACCTATAAACTAAAATTAAATACATTATTTTTTGTTCATTTTCACTATCTACAAAATAACATGATTTCAACTTATAATAAATTCACACACTCAATAATAAAACTAATATAATATAAAGAAAACATGATAACAAAAAAATGTAAGTATGAAAAAAAATTAAAAAATTGTTGTCGAACCTGCCTAGGAGCGCTTAGGCGCCGCCTAGCCATCTGGCCGATATGCAAATTGGAGGCGATCGTTCAGTGCCTAGACCGATTTTTAGTGCACTGATATTAACCTAATATAAAAACAACGTTGAAGACCGACATTAGAGTTGGTACTTAAGACCACAAAATAGGTACTTATATAATATATATAGAGTGCTTATTTTCTCAAAATTTGAAATAATGTCTCCATTTAAATTAATATATATATATATATATATATATATATATATATATATATA